CATATGTGAATGAAGTATTTTCTTATTTGACAAATGGTCTCAACCATTGTACTGAATATGTTTAGTTTTACTACTGATGATGGACTATCAGGATTTGGAATAGAAAGAGTTCCATTCACCGATGTTTGATGTAATTTGTCCAGTCATCCCTTTTATCCTATCCCACTTTATCCAAGATGTCGTTTTAAAATACTAAGCATCAAATTAATGTAGCTTTTTTGTGTCAGAGTGAAGGATCTTTTCACTGCCCAGTGGAGAAATAACAGTGAAATAGTAATAAATCATCACAAACACAGCCTGTGAGAATTAGTTTAAGGATTATTTATTCCTGTAGAATAAACTGTTTATACACTCTGTGATAGCATTTGTTAATTTCATGGGATCCATTTTTAAGCCTAATGGGTACAACTTTCTATCTCCTAAAATAGGTACAATAAATCAAAGATGAATGCTTTGAGATGCACTTCAGAACCACACAATTCCAACTCACAAAATGGAATTCAAAGTAGCAGTGAAAAACTGATATAAATAATTGATTGAACATGGGATGGTTACCTCGGCATATTAATTTCTGCTGGGAAAGAATAGCAAGTCAAGTGATGCTGCAAGACTGCTATCTATTTTTGTTCCTTGTCTAAGTCTAAAAGTGAAGATGGGATGTAACAAGATCAACAAATTACATTTATATGGTACCTTTCACAATAGAAGGATGTTCCAAGGTGCTGGACAGTTAAGGGTTTGCACCCGAGCTGTGGGTCGGAATCGGGTACTAACCACATCATAGTGAATTAAAAAAAAAAAATCAACAGGTACATTTTTTGTATGAGTGCTCAAAGATTTTGGCCTTATCATTGACTATTTCTTTAATCTTGTCTGCTGTGGGAAAGTTTGTCACTTTTTGCGATTTTTCATCATGACATTTTGGATAAATTCGGTGGATGTTTGTCTTTCTCAGGGCTTGTTATTTTATTTATTTTTTAAGATAGTGGGCCATTATTTTCCACGAGCTGGTATTTCTATTTAAACAGTGCCACTGAAAAGTTTGCAGCTTATAAAAGATTACTTTTTTAAAAAAAAAACACAAATGATGGATAGCTGGTGAGATTCGCAGATTACAAATAGGAGGAAAAAGACATCTGTGGGAAAAATGAAACCACTTGGAAGAAGAGCATAGGAATACAGGAAAATAATCTGCTGATATGCTCGTTTCCTAGAAGTTCCTTGACTCAGATGTGCAATGACAAGAATATGTTGTATTTGTAATAATAACTTTGGGATTGGATATATTGCGCAATCCCACATAAAATTGCTTTCTTGAGGTGAGGGTAGCCAACTGCTACACGAGATGGGGTTTCTGGGGAGAGATGATGACCCAAATCATGAAATCCTCTGTGACTCCTGTCAATGCCTGTACTGTGCTTTTGTTAATGTCCAAGACAGGCACTGCTATTTTTCTCTCCCACCGAAAATAGAATGATGGATTCATCTGTTTGAGCCTTAACCAAGCAGGGATAATGTTCATCATAGTAAAAAAACTGGCCGATTATTTTACATGCTCAGGATTAAGTAAACTTGTCACATAACTGAGACTGATAGATTAGGTAGATGTACAGCTCTGGGAATCAGTTTATAACTTCTGGAGTATAACGCAGATATTTCTTTCCCTACAACAAATTTTCTCCCCTGTCTTGAAGATGGTGGTTTATGTTGGAGGTTTGACTAGCTGGGGTGCCGGAGGAGCTGACGCAGGTGTTCCTCCCACCTGAGCCGTAATCCTCTACATTTTAACTTTTCTCATAATTTCTGGAAAAAGAAGCAATGTACAGAAGTTAAAGACTAGCTGGTTGTTTTCAATGTAGTTTAGTGTTACAGCAGGGAAACTAGTGATTTGGGTTTTAGCCACCACACCGAGGGGCATTTTATTAGCATCGTCTTTGTAGTGTCCTGTGTCAGTATGGCATTTATGCCAGTAGAGGCCCTCGCTAAACCATAGAAATAGGAGAGATCCCTCTTGTGACAGGAAATTTCAATTTATGGCACAAGCCTTGCAGATTGAATTATCATTATGCACAAAAAAAGTCAGCTTCAGGAGATGCGTAGTTCACTAATACTGCCCAGAGATTGTTAAATCTTGAATTAAACCATGCTGTAAATCCGGTATTTGTGCCTAAGGTTCGTGTGTATGGTGTGTATTTTTACAACATAAACCAAAACAAAATTATCAGGTCAGTTTTATTTACCAGAAGTAATGTGCTTGGTTGATGTTGTTAGAAATCTTTCATTGGTGAGATATCTACATTAAAAAGCACTTGCATTACTAAGTATTGGTCCTATATCAGTAACACATGGACCATAGGTTGCGTCTGCTGTGCTGAGACTGCAGACTTCTCTTCAAATCGCTAATCTTTGACAGTGTCTTTAGTTATCTTCCTACCCCCACCCACTTGGACCCACGCATCCCGAATCCAGCCTCCAGCTCGGGTGCAAACCTTTGGCTGTCAGCACTTTGGGATATCCTCCTGACGTGAAAGGCGCTATATAAATGCAATTTGTTGTTATTGTAATCCAACACTTTATTTTTGACAGTTCTTAAAATAAACTTATTATATGTAGCCGCAATGCACAAATCAGTAACAAATCATATATGTGCTAGTTTTCAATGGGACTGTTGAAAGGCCATCCTGATTGTTGTGGCTTTGAGGAGCTCATTGCTGCTTAAATGAATGCACACTATACCAACTTAATCCTGTATTATTGTAACTTTGATTGTAAGCTTGTTTGGGCTGTTACAAAAATGCCTATACTGTACTACTTGTTCAATTTCAGGGGGATACAACGAGTTTAACTAAATTTACACAAATCGAAATCATGCAGATAACAAGATTTTATAATCCGTTAAGGCTGTATTTAATACTCCAACCCCTGGACCAGTTGAGATCACAGGAAACACAGGTTTTGGTTCAATCTTAGAGTGGGCAATACATTTCCCGATTGAGATGTCTTTTGCTCTGGTAGGAAGACGATGTAGATGAACATCTCCATTGTGCCCAAAGAGTTCTGAGTGTTTGTTGTCTGGCAACAATTTAGTTAGCATCTTGCATCCTTTAGTTGTAATGCACACCAGTCTGGTGGTGATATTTTCTATTAAGAATGTCATCCACTTTTTAAAGCTCAATTAGGCAGAGTTTGTATTGTATCGTATGTCTGTAAAAAGCTCATTCATTTCATGTCATTAAACATTTCAACATCCACAAAATAGTCTAACTTGTTGTTAGTATTTGGTCAACCACATCCTAAAAGAAATATTTCATGGAAATCTCTGCTAACTGCATAATGAGAGCCGAGGTAAATAACTTGTGATTGTGGCTTTAACTGTGCTGAAGAGCTTTCCCCAGAATTAAAGCTCCTGTTTGATGAATGGATTTGCTTTATATTAACTCAAGTTCTTTGGAATATAACAGGACTGCAAAGTAACGCAATGATGGCATCCTACACTTGATAAAGTCGAGGAACTGATGAGGGCACTTATCTCATTGATTCATCTGACCAAAATCCAGATGGGTAATGGTAGCAATGGGAATGTGTACGATTTGGATAAAATAGTAATGTAGCCACGATATTACTAAATTACCAATCTCCTGAGTTTAAACTTTGAAATTCTTATATCATGCAAAAAGAAAGCAATTATATGCTAGCATTTCTATGACTTGGATTTTGCTGTTGCTGGAAGGTGTGACCTCTCTAATCAAGTAGATTAACTCGTGTATAAAATGGATTGCAGTTTCTCTACTCACATCCTCTCTTGCTCTCTCACCTTTGCTTGCTTGTTTTCTCTCTTTTCCTCGCTCGTATTTTCTATCTCTACCATTGTGTTGTTTTGAGTCTCCACAGTTTGTGTTCAGCAAGAAATTCATGTCCCTCTTTCTCCCTGTTTCATTGGCAATATTCTTTCACTTGTTTCTCTCTGATGCCCGTATCTACTTACATTGTTATATTATACTGTGCAGATTAGAAACCTACTGTAAATGTTTACTACCGTCCGGCGTAGAGTGCGCTATATAAATCCTTGTTGTTGTTGTTGTTATCGTGTTAAATTAGCTGTTTAATTGCCGGATACTACTAATCAAACATTAACCATTGACTAAAACCCGAAGAATATCTGAAGTTGACTGACTGTTTATTATTACAAAATATTAACTTAAATATCTTAAGTCATTGCAATTGAGACAATGCCTCAAGCATTATGACTTTTCAAAGAAAAGAAAGCTATTTTCACGGTATTTTCTTCCTTTTAAGGTACAGTTAAATATGTTCTAGAAATTATAACCATTCAACCAGATACAAATTCCTCTCGTATTTTCACATGCAAGAATATGAGAAGATTTGAGTACTATTACGTATAACTGTCTCAGAGATTGATCTCCAGCATTGTTTGACAGAAACTAAGGAGGGCGAAGCTCCTTTGGTTTGTAACACTTCACTCAATGTTGCCTGTAGGCCTAACACAGTTTGAATTGACTTCTGACACTCCATCAATGAGTTAATCTTTCAGTGTCAGATATGTTACATATTTTCAAAACACAGATCTGGGAAATAAGCATTTGGGATAATTCCTACAGAACTATAAGGATCTCAGCTAAGCGTACTGCTGTAAATGCTATTGAGTTTGTGCAGTTTTAAAGATCAAACGTTAGGCAGGTACAGAATTTAGCAATATTATGTAACAGAAACAAACCTGGGTAAATCCACCAAATAAAATTGGTCAGTTGACTCATGGCTGTTTGTGGGACTTTGCTGTGCACAATTGTGCTGCCACGTTTTCCTACAAATACACGGGTCACTCCTTTTCACAGTAATTCCTGAGACACCTTTCCTGTTTCATTTTTTTTAAAAGAATGGGGTAGAGGTAAGGAATTAGTTGAGCAATATATGAATAAGAAGATCACTTATATTAATTTTAAAAATTTGTGTACTGACATTTTCACTGTCCTACATTTCAGATTCTCAAAACCAGCACCAATGTTTCTGGATAACTCCTTCAAACGATGGGCAAAACTGAAAGATTTTGTTCCTCCATTTGGAATCAAAGGGCAAGGTATTGTAGCATCAATGGCTTGGACTCCTGACTTTAAAATTCTGTGTTATTAAAGGATGTAGGAACACTTGGGCAAATGAACAAAAATGTCTTTACCCTCCCTTCCCTCATCCACCTTTATAATAGAGTAACTAACCACCTAAATGTGTGTCAGCAGAATTAGGTGACTGATTTCTCATCTCTTCCTGCAAAGCAAACCATCACCACTTCTCTTTCTCTGCATCCTACCCAAACCTGGACTAGTGATTCCACTTAGATTTCGATTTGCTTTATTCATGTCACATTTCAGAGTCAGCAGGATTTGCCAAATTGCTGAATTCAGTTTTAACGTTAATTTTCTGTTGTTCTTAAAAGAACTTAAAAGTTCTCTTCGATCGTGCCTTTGGTCGCCCTCCAACCGCTCTGCCTTCCCTCATCTGTACACCACCCCTCCCTCATGCTCGGTCCCCAACACCTGACTGTTCAGCGCTTTGGGACGTCCTCCCAATGTGAAAGGCGCTCTATAAATGTAATTTTGTTGTTAAAGAGTATATTAAAGTTGACAAATTCTAGTAGATCTAGACCCAGGTAGAATTTTACAAGTTGCAGATATGCAACTGTTTGCTCCCTCGAAACGTGTCTTGTATAAAGAAACTGAACTGTTTCCAGAATGCATTTTTTCCTGCATGTATTATTAATTTACATAAAATGATGGAGCATGAGTGTCTCCATTTGCTTTATTCAAAGAATCATAGAATTGTACAGCACAAAAAGAGGCCATTCGGCCCATCGAGTCTGTGCCGGCTCTTTGAATAGAGCAATTAATGTTAATCCCACTCCCCAGCTCTTTCCCCATAACCCTGCAAACCCGTCCTCCTCAAATACCTGTCAACCGCGTTTTTAAAAGTAGTTATCGAATCGGCCTCGACCACCCTTTCAGGCAATGCGTTCCAGTTTCCAGTATTCTTGAAAAATACCTGCCTGATTGTTGATGAAGTAATTTTCTGCCTATAACTGGCAGTACATCTGAAAGATGTGCAGTTTGGTAAGATTGGTAAGATGTGAAGATGTGTTGATTCTTTACTGAGGGAGTTCCCAATTTATGTTGTCATGGTCGGAGTGTGTGATGTGGTGCACGTAGACATGGAAAAATAACTCCAAAACTATTGTATGACTTTAACTATGCATGTTAAACCTTGAAAACCATCAAATCACCCCAAAATGCAACTGTTAGATATCTGCCCTTGTTTAATAATAACATATTGTGTAAATATGACTCCGATGTTGCTTTGTAAGATGTTCAAATGAGAGTTCTTGCTTCATGACCAATGCGACTTTTAACATTACCGGATGGTTGATTTTGAATATAATTTGGTCCGAAATTGACAAGGTACAGTGCAAGGTCCTCTGTTGTGAAATTTTGAACTTTTCCTAACCTTTGCGTATGACAATTGCTTGTAATTGCTCTGTGACTTTATAAATCGACCTTTGGATTCCAGTGCCTTTTAAGCATTTTAAAATAGGTTGCTCTTGACAAAAGGCATCACCCTCATATAATTTGAGATTGCCAGCTCCTGAATGAATGTGAAACCTTTAGAAATGCATTTCCTTTTCATGATGATGACAGCGCTATTGCTACGTGATAAATTGCGCATGTTTTAATCAGTACAGGAGAAGTGGGAGCACCCACTTACATTATCGACAGGATCGTCCTCTATGCTAAATAATTCAGACAAAAGCAACAGCGAACTTCAGAACTGATAGTATATCAGTGCATTACAGCTGTCAGCGTTTGTGTAAGCTTTCTCTGTGTCTATAAATTGCTTTTCTAGTTAACCTATGATAACTGAGTATACATCTTCTTTGTAATGAATTCAACATTTTGCCGTGAGTTTATTTAAAGGGCTATGACATTGTGCATAGAATTCTTGCAAAAATAACTTGCAATCACACTGAGCCTTACGCTCCCTTCGCTCAGCAAATACTGTTCTGTTTCATGTTCCCACCCTAGCCACCCCACCGAGTGGATTTTCTGCCTTCGCTCTCTGGAACTCCACCCCAAAGTCCTTCCAACGCATTTCCACACTTTCAATTATCTTTTCCATGTTTTAAACCAATATTGACAAAGATTTTCACCTCATTTTCTGCAGAGATATTCTAGAAATGTGAAATAAATGTTGTTTCACCCACAAAAAAAAAAACAGTTCATTCATTTTACAGTATATATTTACAGTATATTTTATGAAGCGCTTTGAGACATCTCAAAGACATAAAGCGCTATATCAAATACAAAGATTATTATTGTCTTTATTTTCTTAGAATCTTTCATGAATATTTTTTGTAAGTGACCCAAAACGTTAGCATTGTTCTACATCCACAATTTAGTATCCATATGCAGGAGTTTGTAATAAAATACAGCATATCTGCCATGACTCCCCATATGATGAATTTCATAATTTACTCAAGGCAATTTACTTGGATCAATCATCACAATATTTAAAAGCACATTCTAAATCTTCCATCTTTCTTAGCATATGATGTGGAAGGAACTTAAATGGCAGAAATCAGATAAAGTAAATTGGGTAATTTAACTCATTACTTGATTCATTCAGCATGTTTAACAACAATTTGAATGACGTTCTGTACATTTAAATTGTTTCTGTCATCAGTAGAATATTTGATTACCATCAGTGAGTGCAGCATTGATTTGGACTCGTAGAATAATTTTCATGAAATAAAATGGACAATTTGAACTACAATTCCCATAATTCTGCACAGCTTCTTAAAGTTGACATTAATGAATAGTAAGAGTGGAGTAGCTGTTGGCAATATTTCAATTGATGGCTTTGTTTTTTTTAAACCTTCATGAAGATAAAATAGTTGAATCTGGAGGAGGTTTGTTGACAGAATCCAATAATGTATTGTTTCAGGGGTCAGCAAGAGTGTGGAATCCATAATGCATTTAAAGTAAGCATGTCTGAGGTACAGCTCTATCCTTACACCTTCTCATTATTCTAATCTTTCAACACTTAGTGTGTTGGATTTGAAATATTTTGTGCAAGTTGTCATTTATATGTGGGTCAATTTGTCAATGAGCAGGTAGAGTATTGAAATCCAATCTCCAATTAAGAAGTAGACTAAGCACATGGACAGGTTATTTAGATGTCATTACCAAGAGTTTTTGTCTGCCAGTTGCAGAATTGTCTCCCAGAACAGTGGACTGAGAAAGACTTGTAACACTCAGTAATTATATCCTTGAATTCTACATATTCGGACAGGACGAAATGTTAGGCGCGTCTCCTTACTACACACACACACACATCTCTGCTTAACTAGCAGTAAGTAGTAACCCAGTTGTTAGTAGAATGGCGGATCGCTTTTCTGGCGTAATAATCCCTTCAATAAACAAAAATATTTTGGTCACTCAATCCATGACTGTATGTGGGACACTGCTGTGTGCAATTGGCTGCTGCATTTTGTCCACAAAATACCCGGTCACTATACTTTGCAGTATATCCTGTGAAGCGCTTTGAGACATGTCGATGAAGTGATAAGGCGCTATATTAAATTCTATCAAATAATAATAGGATTATTTATTATTATTATCCTTGCAAAACCATAGATTCCACATCACATAACTTTGAAGCAGTTAGCTCAGCACATACACTGAGAAAGTATTGTTTCTTTTAAATTGAAATCCATATTGAAAAGACTGGGGACAACCAGACTAACTGGGATGAGTTAGCACCTTCAGGAAGTGAGTGGAGAAACGCTGAATTGGAGAGGATGGTTCTGGCTGAGGCAGGGAAATTGTGGAAAATGCCTAAACTTTCCATCTTTTGGCAAATTATCCAAAACGGGTGCATCAAGTAGCTGTATAGAAGCAGATCGGGTATTTAAAAAGGCCACTTTATGACCAGGAACCATGTACAAACTGTTTTGCAAGACTCGCTTTCCACCAAAATGTAGTACAGTAGATGTCATCCTGACTCAGTTGGAAACTCTCTCACCTCTGAGCAGAAGATATGGTTCAAGCTCCACATCAGAATTTTATAGGCTAGTCTGACACCCCAGTGCAATGTCAGGGAACTTGGACATTGTTAAAGATATTGATCTTTGAATGGAACATTAAACCAAGGTCCCGTTTACTTGTACAGACAGATGTTAAAGACTCTGTGGCACTATTTGAAAAGAGAAAGGAGTTTCTCACAGTGCCTAATCATCTCTCAGCTAAAAAGCCAATCATCTTGCATTCCATTCCAACAATCTATCCTTGGGATTTCCATGTGTAAGTGGGATGCATGGAAATCTCAGCTTGGTTTGGATACTCTTAAGCACGGTGAAGGGTTTCCGCACATGTCAGATACCCAGCTGACCAAAACAAAAGTCTTTATAGCTTCTGTTACAGCAGATACGTGGAAATCCTTGTCTGCAGAGAAGTGTAGATTGTGTTCACTAATGGGGATAATGAAGATATAATTGTTGGGTAAATACAGTGAAGAGAAATATTAGGCATATGAGAATCTAGTGATGGAGCCCCACTAACTTTGAAATGATTAATATTGATAATTAACCACTTATTGCTGCGATTTGGGAAGTTAATTCACTGAAGGATGCTCAGAAGTGTGGGTTGCCATATTCCAAGTCATAAGTTGAGTTATTTTGTGGTTGTATAGTAAGAGACTTTGCAGAATAAATCACTGCAAATAAACCTCAGCTTCACAAATTGTGGGCTTCATAAATCAATGTGCAGATGGCAATTAAGTTATTGAGAGTAAAATATAAAAAGAGCAATGAGAAATTATCGGAAAGAAGAAATCATATTGCAAGCAGCATTACATCCATTTAAGCTTTGTTTAAACATATTAATATTAGATTAAAGAGCAATCCAATTGGCCAAGAAGGTAGGCATAATCTATCAAATGCCCTTAGTCCAGAAACAACAGTTGGATGCTAATAGTAATGAATGATTCAGCATACTTTAGTTACGAGAACTTTGAGCTGATTAGTGCTCTTGGCACCAATCAGCAATAAATCCTGATTAGTGCTTGCGAGTCCAGCATTAATCAGTTCTGCACCCCATTCCAATATAAAAATTACCACACAATCGAATTGCAAGTTTTTTTTTGTTGCCTGTCCTTCCACCCCATTCTTTATCAAGCAGAATCCACATTTTGTTAGTAGCTCAAATTTTAATAAGTATTTTTGCTTAAAATGTATTATCTCCCCACCCTTAATTTCTGGGCACGCTTTAAAAGGTGATTTTTGTCTCCACAGATTTACCTTGAAGTGGTAAAGGTGAGGGAATGTCGATCGGAACAAAAATAGTGGATCTAACATTTAGGAGTGTTAGGCACCTAGCTCCTTGAGTGTAAAAACTGGATGTGGCATCTTTACCTTTGGCTTTTAGATCAGTTATGAAACCAGGTGTGATGTAAAAAGGACCAGTTATTAAAAAAAAAGGAGGTTAAAGCGCCCTTAAATAAACAGTAGATTTGTAAAGTTCAAGCATGGTTGAATGGGATCAGATTGCCTGTACAGTGAAAGCCAAGCGCAAAATGATTAAAGCTTGTTACGGCAATTGATTGATGTCTTAATTCCAGTGGAAATAGACAAGAACATTTGTCTGGATCTGAAACTAACAGCATGGTTTCTTTTCTTAGTTCTGTGTTTTTAAGCAAACAGTTGTTAAAGTTCACATTCAAACATTCCCTGTGCCTTCCGAGCTCCACCTTTGGCTCAACTCTGCTCTGATGCTGTTATGCCGCTCCTTTCAGAAATAGAAGCTGTCACTTTTGAAGCTGACAAAACAAAAAAAAAAGAAATTGAACAGACCTTCACATTGACAGAACTTCAACAGTTTATTTGCTTAAAAAAACAAAATAAAATTATTTTATTTTTTAAAGGAGATGTCCGAGGGAGTTCTTTCTGTTTGGAGTGCAACCTTATTCACTTGTGAGGAAGATTTTCCTTTATTTAAGGATAGATGTTGTCTAACATTAAGGTGAAAAACCTCAGTTGAGAGGGAAGGGCTGTAAGATTGTTTCCAGCCCTTCCCTAATGCTACTGTATACCAAACATTAAGAGATGCCTCTGGATTAAAATGATCTGAAAAATTCTCTCTTCCTGGGAAAAGCTCCACAATTCTATTTGACTTTTCTCCTCAGACCAGGGAATCAGAACTCACTTTATAGATAAATTAGAATCATGAATTTGCATCCTATAGAGACAATTCAACACACTTTTTAAAAAATGTTTTTGTTCTGACAGAAGTGTTCTTTGTAGCAACAGGTACTTTTTACTTTTAATAACAACAATGACAGTAACATTTTCTCTATATATTGACATCACTTTGAGTAGGTTTATTTCATAAAATTGGCAGCCGCGTTTCGCCCACAAAATATACAGCTTCTGTGAAGTGCTTTGAGACGTGTGGAAGATGTGTTAAAGCGCTATATCAGATGCAAGGATTCTTATTATTTAGAAATACAGGAGCGCTAGCTGCACAAGCTACACAAATATACCATTGGAGTATTTTGAATTCAGGCATTTCCTTTCAATTCCCTCAAATTTTAAACTCCCAAAGTCAGCTGGCTTCCCTGGAGACACAGATTAAGAGAGAGGACAGACATTTCTCTACTTGGAGAGGAAACAAGGTGAATAGTCAACCCATTAGCAGCTGTCTTATTGACTGCAAAATGTTGTGTGGGGTGAAGGGAAAAAATATAATTTGCAATTTGAGGGTCAAATAATTAAGATATCTTAATTTCTATTCAAAGAGTTTACGTCTGTGTTAAGGTCAGCTGCAATTTTCCAGTCAGCAGGGTAAGGTGTAAACAATGGAATCCACAAAGATCGTCACAATTTCGTCTCTCTGCCATGTAGTCAATCCGAGATGTAAATGAACTACTTTCTCACTGTTCTTCAGTCTGTAAGCCTCCTGCAAAAAATCTTGATAGGTAATTAAACTAGTCTATGCATATTAGCGACAATAATAAATTGTGCAGCTTTCATTCTGAGAGCTGGTAGAGAAAGTTGGCATGTATAATAATAATAGCCATTGCATTTGATATAGCGCTTTTCACATCTTCTAGACATCTCAAAGAGCCTCACAGAATAGACTGTAAAGTGAATTGACTGTATATTTGTGGGCAAAGCGCGACAGCCAATTGCACGCAGCAGTGTCCCACAAACAGTCGTGGATTGAAAATTACCAATTTATTATTGTTTTGTTTTGGAGGGATTATTATTAGACGTGTGGAGTAAGGAAACTTGCCCAATGTTTCTGCCTGGAATTGAACCCAGGTGTCTCGTTTGCAAGGCGAGTGCTCTAACCACTGAGCTACAGGACTCCACAAAGTTAGTCTCATATCATACTGTATGACAGTAAAATACTTCATAATTATGTTATGGTAAATGAATTCAGAAAAAGTTGTTCAATTATGTGGTGGAAACAATGTAAAATGTGATGACCAATAATATGTATTGAATACCATGCAGTAAGAATATGTAGAGGTCAAATTAAAGAAATTGACAGGTTTCCACGCTGAAATGATTTCATTATTTTCTTTACAGAAGTAGTTGTGCAGAAGATACTGGGAATAACAAAACACTACACTTTGACCGAGTCCATAGACAGGTAAGTGCATTACAGCTTACAAGGGCAAAGGAAGGAACTAATGTGAACTTAAGAAAATAGTTGTACTTTGGGAAAGGGGCAATTTTTAGAGTGCATTTTTGTGTAAGCATTATTGGTATTCAGCAGCCCAGTAACTCCAGTGATAAAGCCTCTAACTTAATGATCTATCCAGTTGATGATTCTTAACAATACATCGCAAGCAAATTGACATTTATCCAGTGCCTTTCACATCAGGAGGACATTCCAAAATGATTTACACCACTGCCTTAGTATCCGAGACGGGGTTGGGGAGGGATGATGGGAAAGATGACCGAAGGCAGACTCAGTTGTTTGTTTTGCAGGGTGGAAACTGAAGCTGAATTCTGCGTGTGGGGACTAGATTTTCTAACTTATTTGTAAATGATTATTTTGCAAAACATAACTAAGGCTGACCCAAGCAAGACAATGTAAGGAGAACGGATGCTTTTTTAGGATCTTGATTTAAATTTATTGTATTAATTTAATTTGATTTACACTTATTTATTGTATTTTATTAATTTGCTCAATCTCCTAGATCTGTTCTATGAGAATTGGTGTTAAGGAAGTAAATTAAAAAGTCTGTTTCAAAGATTAAAGCTGATTGAGATGAGTAATATCTCAATCAGCCAGACTCCTTCACCCATCTACTTAATTGTTCCAGATCTTTATAAATCTCTTTACTTTCCCATTATTCATCTGCACAAGCTTTTGTATCTTCAGCGTAAGTGTAATCCTATTGGAGTGAATGTGCATTTCAAATTCATTTATAAATCAGGTTGTGTTACAACAACATGCCTTATACAGAGTCGCCCTGTATTGTTAACAGCAGGAGACTTAGAACTGATCCCGATAGATTTCCAGTTGTCATTGCCCGTCAATCTCCTCCTCCCCAAACAGCGCTTTTATATTCATCCTCTATTTCCTATTTCGAAGGACAGTTTCTTAATCTAAACCACTAATTTACTAGATCTTTATCCTTTTTTAAAAGATTTACTGTATCATGCAGGTAAAGTTAAATAACACTCGTCCATTATCGATTACTTTAGTTGTTTCCTCAAATTCTACTAGATTCCCAAGGCATGTTCTATTGTTGTACTTCTGAATCCATATTGACTACGTTTTTAGCTTTAAGGAATTATTTACATCGGCAAGCATTTTCTCCACTAAGGATATTGAGGCTAACTTATCGATAATTTCCAGATTTTTTTCTCACTAATGCTTTGAATAACAGGCTATTTATTATCCTTCAGGTCTTGTGTACAGATCCATTGTTTATGGAGCTCCTAAAATATTAACCAGAGTCTCAACTATTTCCTCTCAAAATTTTAAGAGGATCCCAAGAGTGTGTTTTGCTTGACCCAGTTGCCTTGTCAACATTCAGTTCTTTGGGTTTTTCATAACTCTTTCTACCCCAATGTCTACTTGTGTTAAGGTTTGAGAAGGGGATATAAACTGATTGGAATGTGCCATATGTTTTAACTACTGAGGATGTTAGATGGTACATTAAGTGAAGAGAGTATAACTTGTACCTAATTTTAGGCTGGATATTAGCAGTTTCTTTGGGATTTTTTTTAAAAAAAGCAAAAGCTAGCTGCATCAGTTCAACCGTGTCCAACTGAAGGCGTCTATCTCAATCATGGCTTTCCTCCAATCACAAACCTTTTTAAGAAAGGCACTGTTTTAATGTATAATTCTGTAATATGGGCCAAGTAATTTTCTTTTAAACTGTGTGAGATAGCTCCAGGAAACGAGAGCAGCACCACAAAGAGTTAAATAATTCAGAGATTGTTACTGGGGTAACCATCCAAAACTCCAGGAACGAAATGTTGCCGACGATATCCAGTTTTACACGAACAATTACTGCTGGGAAGTGCAGTCCAAAAAGCTCCAATAAGAAACTAATATGATAAGGTTACCTCTGAGATACTGTAAAATTCTACCATTTTTAGTGAAAAATATTCTGTTCAACATAGGACTTTCAGTTCATGAAAATACCCTGAAAAATGATGGTGCAAAAATATTTGGATTTACATTTTTGTCTCCAAGGCTATTTTTGTTTGAACAAATCAGTGTGCAGGATTGAGATTGTTAAAGTATAAGGGGAGCAAATTTACTATTGTTTAGTTTAATTTGACATGTGAATCCGTTTGGAAGTATTTAAATTTTCTGGGCACCCTTGATAATTTATCTTCGAATATTGGGCTGAGAGAACAGTGGGAGTTGCATTGTAATTTGTTGCTCTCCTGTTCACAGAGCCTGAGCAGCTCACTATCAAAAGGCCCCTAGAATCCTACGACATAAAAAGTTTCATTTCTGTGGCAGTTTGAAACAAATATCTTCTTGTGCCAGTGGTTCATTCATGTTATTTCTTCAGCGTTTAAATGCCAGGAATCTCAGGGATATCTGTAGGTAATCTCTCCAATGACCAGCATTTCTGTGTATGATGTATATTATCAAGTACATCTTCGAAATTCATATACTGTTTAATAAATGATTCCCTTATGTCTGCAGAGTAGGGTTGTCACCCACATATCATTTTTGCAAAGAAATTGTGCAGAGTGTAAGATGAATTTGCAAAGCATGCTCTTGTGTCTGGTCAGATTCAGCTCGTTGATAATGTGATGGGGCTTGACAATTGTACATTGAATCAATCCCAGAGCCGGGATTCATTGTCATGGAGTGAATCAGTTATGCTACATGTCACTCCATAATTCAGAGCACCATTCCTCCTGTCCAACTCAAAGTTTTTGCCATCTTTCTTAAGTGACCTCTTCCCCCGTCTTGTTCAAAACTTATCTCTATATTCACTCTTCACCAAAAATCTATTGCCTTGAAGAACACCAACCAATATAATATTTATGTGGTGACCAGCAGTTAATGCTCCAAGTACTGTTTGTTCCATTTACTGCCATGTCTTTGTCAAAGGAAGCTGCTTCTTGGCTTCAGTTAACCTTTGTTTTTTTGGAATTAGCTTGTTTTTTTGCCCCATTTCCAGAATTTAACTTGTACAATTTGTGATATCTGCTTCATCACCTGAGTACTTTAGACATATCACCTGTTAATGTTTAATATGTACAATTCACCCTCTTTAAATTTGCTCTAAACCAGTATACAGTTACTGGAAATAGATTATGTGCTACCATTATCCTCCTAATCCCATACAATTTATTTGTAGCTCCCAGGGTGGGATTCATTGTATATATTCAAAATCCTCATGGAGCTATTATCTAATACATTGCTTTAGGTTTCATTTAAAAAAAAGTGTAGGACGTGGCAAGATTGAGTCAAATGAGGTGCACCCTTTAGCAACTGGAATCAATTGAATTACTTTCAAACTGCAGTGTATCTTGCAGCTAAGCACTCAGATGGAACTCGGTTAAATGAAGGAGAATCAGATGACAGTCATGCTTGCGACTTATTTCCCTGTCACTAATACTGATTATGCTCAAGTCAGAATTACATTGTTTTAATAGTAAAACTGCTTAGGGGGCCATTACAATTGCAAGGTTTATTTTGTTCAAACGACTGTTCAAAGGAAGTGGAAAAACATTCTTATGAAACAATATTTCATCTAAAGTGGGTATCCTTTCTTTAATACACCATTTCATCCCTTCCTCCTCACATCTGTATACTTGGTTGCTCTTATGACATCCATTATAGAGACAAGTCAAAGCAATTTAATTGAGTGCAATGGGTGAGGGTGTTAGAGCTTCTCTGTTCTGAAAAACGTAATTACTGCTTACTGTAAGTACTGGTTATTGAATAAAAGCTAGTTCAGTATTGGACATTCCCAGATCAGATAGCTCTGAATGGTTAGCTAGACTTTGATTGGTCCAAAAGCACTCACCTTCATTAAACTCAATAAGCCAGCTCTTTGTGGGTCTCTCCATTAAATAAGCAGCCTAATACAGGAAGAAGCAGGTGCAGGACTAAATAATCATCTTTGCATTTGATGCAGAGCTTTATCATGTCATCGAGATGTCTCAAAGTGCTTCACAGAATATAGTGTAAAGTGAATTGACTGTATATTTTGTGGGCGAAATGTGGCAGCCAATTGCCAATTACTGAAGGGAAGATTCATTTCTACAGGTAAACTATTGTTTTGTAACAAAACAATGCCCATGCATTTCTGATTAGAACAGTAAGTGCTCCTTCTAGATCATTTCCTTGTTTGGGTCTTATCCATTGAGAGGCATCATCTATGGTTTGCCCCAGTTCTCTCATTTTGATGAATTTAAAATCAAAATATTCCACCTTATCAAAATAAGAACTATTTAAAAAAAATTCTCCAAGATCCAGAACAAATACTGTAATTATATTGTATCAGACGACTTTGACATCTATAAAAATGTTAACTTTATCAGAACCACCTGTCCCTGTACTTCATAAATGGCTTGTATTACATGTGCGATATTCTCTGCTGAATATGGAGTTCAACAAACTTCACTTGATGAATCGACGATACCAATAAAACTCCTACATGTTCTTTGCCAGGGTAAGGGCCATAATAATGAAAGATATAGGCAGATCGCTTCAGTTTTTGAGATTGTCACTTGTATGTACTTTCCCCAAGCCAGTGAGGGGCTTAATATATCTTGTGATTAACCTTGCTAACTGTTATTCAGATGATACAATTCAATGTTTTGAATTACTGAATTTGGGTTGCAGCTTATTCAACAAATTTCATATCCTTATGGGGTCCAAGGTATTAAACAAAAGAAATACAGTTCCTCTGAAAATAAAAATAAACTTTGTTAAGAAAGTTTCTCTTATTTAAAATGAAGAGCAGTGTTTTATTTTGTACTCACAATACCCTCATTGAGAGTTTTAATAAATATGAACAGCAGAGATCCCAGGTCAGATCCCCAGGGGCTTTTACTGGTCACAGCTGCACAATTAGAATTATTACCATTGATAACTCTCCCCTGTTTTGTATTATCTTGCCAGCTAATAATGCAATTTTAAACTTCCTCCTTGATCCCATGAGTTTTCACTTTAGCCATAAGTTTCATGTAAGGAACCATAGCAAATGGTTTCTAAAATTTAAGATATATAATATCCTCCAGCATACCCTTGTCCACCAACTTGGTTACATCCTCAACAATTCCAATAAACATCTTTGGCATAACCTGTTTTTTATAAGCTCATGTTGTTTTGTATTTATTGCTTCCCCAAGTACTGGTCCCTTTATAATAGGCTTTAATATTTACCAATATGCATTCTGTGTGTCAAATTGACATCTCCATAGTTTCTGTGGTCATGCAATATTTGAGGATTCAAATCACCATTGCTATCTGCTACTCTATTTATATCTATCCAATGAGAAGCTAGGAAGCTCTGTTGGAGCACTCCCTACTACAGTACATTGAGTAGTTTGACATGCAATCCATCTGGTCTTGTTGTTTTATGACTAGATCAGACTGGGAATATACCAAATAGAAAATCGCACGGTTGGATTATCAACCTTTGACCTACTAGTCCTTTGAATAATCCATAAACCTAATGGCTGTTCTTCCCCCAAGAAAATACAGGGTCACTTCTGGGAATTTTTTCAAAACAGGTATTGCGTTAACTTGCAACTGACCTGTAGCAGCATGTTGTGTAGAGGGTGCAAAGTTAGGACATTAGTATCCCAAGATAAAACACCCATCAACAGATGTGGAGGGGACGGGGGCAGGCATCAGGATACAGTGAAAGAAGGATAGGCATTTATATGCCATCTTTAGTGGAGGGTAAGTACTAAGTGTTTACCTATACATCATATTTTTTGACTTCTGTGATTTATTTCATTCATATTTATTTAAGAAATTCCTGTTGTTGCTATCAGGCTTCCTCTTGCCATTAGCTAATAATTACTATGATCTGATTGATCTATCACATTGCCTGTACGTTTGTTGCATTGCTCAACTGATTAATGTTTGAGTTTATCAGTCAATGTATTTATTTCTGTGCAAGGACATCTTTGCCAGGGCTGTAGGTTTTGCTGTGAAATCTAAAAACTCAGCTATTTTTTATTCATTCCAAGAACATCATGTGTTTCTTTATTGCAATGAATCAAACCTGATTTCACATTTTGTAGGAATATATTTAGGTGGTGGGAAGCTGTTTCCATGTGTACGAAGACAATACACCCAACAAGAACTGGAGTTGTATTTACATTGCAGCTGTATATTATTGGTTCCAAATTTACAGCTGGTTCAAATGAAATGCATCGTGCAATCACGCAAATGAAAGCAGTGGTCAAAGCATTTGTTTGATAACCATATGGTGTTGCAGCTTCTGCATTGTAACTCATACACTGCTTAACTGTATATGTGTTCTATTTATTCTTAAGGGTAATAGCTTAAACATTTGTTATGTAACACTGGAGTAGCATAAAATGTTCAGTTGCATAAGGAATTGGCTGGAAAGGCAATGTCACGCACCAACACTGCTGCTACAGAATATACATGTTTAATCCTGGTTTAATTCTAATAAAACAGCAATAAAACTGTTAATGATATTTGCATGAAGATCCTCAATATAAACAAATTAATGATAAGCCTTCTTTCTCTTTCAGTTTAACCTGCAAACGATGCATCATTATAGGCAATGGAGGAATAGTGGCTAACAAATCTCTCGGATCAAAAATCGATGACTATGATGTTGTAATAAGGTGAGTTTTATTTTGATCTGTTTTGTTCTGTTTGTTTCTCATCATACAACAACAGCACAATGAGATTCATCTCAAAGTAGGATTAATTGTATATTTATGTCATGTGGGTGCTGGTTCAGCTGGATAACCTTGAATAGTCCTGATGCTGATTCTTTTCTGTCCTCGCAGACTTGAGACATTTTTCTATATTTTTGTTTAGCTGCTGCTATTCAGTCCTTTCATATAAATTATAAAGGTGGTTTGGCAATTCACGCTATGTGTAATGGCAGCATCTAATTCATGCAATATGTAATTTATAGTTTTGCCCATAAAATATACATCAATTCACTTTACACTATATTCTGTGAATCGCTTTGAGACGTCTAGAAGACGTGATAAGGCGCTGTATCAAGTTCAAGGATTATTACAAACTGCATTCAGAAAGAAAATATGGTCATATATCTACAATCCAGTAAATAACATGGACTCAACTAAAGAAGCAAAATCATATATTTTCATACTTCTAAAGATCACTGCATTACACTGGTCTAACACATGTTATTTGTTAAGGCTGGCAATTGTTTTGTACTTATAATGAAATGTAGGAATGAGCATTTGTTTTAATTTTGTTTTCCTTGTGGAGTAGTCAGCAGGTTTATGTTGTGATGTCTTTCATGTGGAGAAGCACTAACATTCACAACATCTGTTGCTACAACTTTACAGACATCCTTGCTTTCCACTGGAGATGGCCTGCCAGCTATTCCACACAAATAAACATAGAATTTTATTCACCTTCTGCACATTCAATCTCTTAGATTATTCAGTAAAACATGAGCGTGTGGTAACCCGATTAACTGTGTTAGCACTGCATGAAGTACAAATGAGGCCTTTCCCCTTTTTGCACAGAAACTCTGTACAGTAATTCCAGTCCTCGTTCCTGGGTGACAAAATTGGTAAGCAGGGCTTCAGTCCACCAGCAATGGTGACACCTCTTTTCGATGAGTTTAAATATCATTGAAGATGGTTTGAAAAAATTTAGGGAAACAAATGTTCTATCTCACCAAAATAATATTGCCTATTTGTTAATATCTAATCAGATCCCACCCTTTACAAGATTATTAACAGATATGTTAGATATGTGGCTTGATTTCGCCTCCCTCCCCTCCCTTATCTCCTTTCAGGAGGAGGCAAGAGAAGCATTACAGTGGCTTAATTTTGAATGAAAGCATTTACAAGCTATTGGAACCTCTGCAAGCGAGAGAATCGTATTTTAGTCTGGCTAGCTGTAACAAGTCCTCCCTGAAATTGGTTAATGATTAAACAAGTAACTGGGACACTGTGTTTTAAAACCTTTATATATATATATATATATAATGTGTGTGTGTATGAACTGCACGTAGCTGTGGCGCTTTGATTGAACATCAGACACGCTCCTGCTTGAATAAAATTTGAAGGCTTTTGATTGCTGCATTCATTGTTCACATACATTCCTACTTTGTTCACAAAGACAAAAAAACAAAAAGCTAGGGAATTTAGTGTTGACGTGACTCAAACCAAAATGTCCACCATGGATCAATAATAATAATAATCCTTGCATTTGTTATAGAGCCTTATCACGTCTTTAAGACGTCTCAAAGCGCTTCACAGCATATACTGTAAAGTGTAGTGATTGTATTTTGTGGGTGAAACGCAGCAGACAATTGCGCACAAATCCATGAAATCATAGGGAAACATATTTGTCAATCTTATGTGGATGATTGTTGGCCAGTTATGAATTAACTCACTCAAGGACTTCTGCTGATGTCTTCACATTCAAATGTTTTGTCAGTGTAAGAGTTGGTTATAGAGATCACTCTTCGACATCCATTTGTATTGCAAGACTCGGGTAAATAAGTACTTCTCTTATTTTGATTCCATGGTTTGAGCCATCTTTTTCCCAAGCCCTTGTTTGCACCTCCTACCATTACTTCCCAATTGGGTGAAAACAAGAATGAAATGCTGGTAGAGTGAAATGAATGGCCATCACAAAGAGAAAACAAAGCTTTGGTTCTGGGAAGAGCATCTATGGTTACCCCAGTGTTGAAACTTCCAAACTAGGAAGCTGTAGTCTGAAGCTGTTTTATTTGATTTCTGAGCCCAAATTTCGCTTCAGGACAAACTGATTGAATTTATGCTTTCAGATTTCAGAGGATTGAAGTCTGCTCAGAGTATCTCCTAAAGTATTTTCTGTTGAGTTCCCAAGTCGTCCTTGACATCAACCTGTCTAGAAAGACAGGAATAAGTTTACATTATTTGGATGGCCCAGGCAAATCTGATGGATCAGGGGACTAAAATTTACCATTAATCTTTATCTTATGGGAAAAGACTGCATGACCATTACCATTACCTAAGACAAATATTACTATTTAGAATTGAAAATATTTTTGTTTTCTTCAGACTGAATGAAGCTCCTGTGAAGGGATTTGAAAAAGATGTTGGCTCAAAGACAACTCTTCGAATCACATACCCAGAAGGTGCCATACAGAAACCAGAACGCTATGAGAAGGACTCACTATTTGTGTTTGCTGGATTCAAACCTCAGGATTTCAAATGGTTGAAATACATTGTTTACAAAGAAAAAGTGGTAAGGATCCATTCCAGAATCACAATGGCATATTGTCGAGAATACTACAGGTATAAGAGGTTTATCTATCTACTTATTTCATGGTGTAACGGATGTCCAGCACAATTTTCATTCTGTCCTTGGACTTCAAAGCCAACTGTGATAGCCTAAGCAAAAGTAAAAAATTGTCATCTTTCTTAACTGATGTAACATCAACCAACCATAGTCTTACATGAGTAATGAGTTGGAGTCTTCAGTGATGGTAGCGGAGAGCAGTAACCCTGAGAGAGTGACAGTAAAATTCAGTAGTTACAATGGTGCCAACAGCATATAGTTGTCTTCAATTACAGCAGCAGTCTTCAGTCAGTAGTGACAGCAACAGGCTTCAATGAATGGTTTCAGCAGCATTCTTCAGTGAATAATGACAGCAGAGGTCTTCAATGAATAGTGACAGCCGCAGGCAACAGTCTTCAGTGAGTGGTGAGTGATCATAAGATAATTTTCATTAGCAAGCAACAGCAAACCATAATTTTCAGTGAGAACACAACAGATGTGCACTTCAGTGTGTTGAAGAAAGGTAAGCTTAAGCTCTCGCCACCCTTCCACTCTGCCAACTTCAGCCTACTTCATAACCCCACTTGTTCCATCCCACCATCTGCAGACAAGCCTTCAAATACATTGCCCCCTCCCTCTGGAATTATTTTCCCTTCCACCTTTCTAAAGGGCTTTGAGGCATTCTCCAAATATGAAACAGACTATACAACTGTAAATCACATCAGTATCCATTGCTTGACTATTAATATAATGCCATGCCTGAACAGTTCCAAGTCATTGTACTGAATCTTGTAATCTATCTCCTTTCTTCAGTAAACATGAGAACTGTCGATGTATTGCATTCTCATAAATTCGATTTATACTTTCATAATGAAATGTCGTTTTGGTTTGCTGAAATATTTATAAACAGCCTATGCAACCAACGGTGCAGTTTAAAAGCCAGTGTGTCTTGTGCACTCCTTAAAGAGCAGGTTAAAGAGCAGTTTAAGCACCAATTGTTAGATTGACAATGGTTAACAATTGACAGCGATTGTTAGATTGATGGGGATGTGCAGACAATTTAATCTCTTCGGATCCAAGCTGCATAATGCCAATTTATCACTGTTGACTTGCTCACAATGTTTCTGTTCATTTTATGTGCAAGGAATAGGTCCGTCCATTTGATCAGGTTAAATATCACGTATTGTGTTCCAAACCTTTTTAAAACTTCATATGGTTTCAAAAATACTTGAACTTTTTTTTAAATTGTTGTTTTGTTTATTTATTTGTGCCAGTGTTCTTGACATTATCATTGGGAAAGGGGATAACTGGCTGGAGAGACTCACTGAGCATAGTAATGAACAGGAGCTGAACTGAAATATGATAGAAGGTTATTGACCCCAGGGTACTTCATCAATCAAGTGTATGTTTGTTCAGCTCTCTTGGTTGTCAGTAATTTCTGATGAGTAGTACAATACACTTTACTTAATGGTGATGTCTGTTTGAAGAGACTATTGGCTTTTTGATTCTGCAGTGTTTGCTTATTAGGTGCTGAAATTGCTCTTTGCATCATCTTATTTATAAAGCTTTTTTGAAAACAATTCTCTTACTTCACAGTAATTTTTCATTTCCTGCTTTGCCATTGTGAGAATCCCTCTGTAGCAGACAGCAGAGAAAGGGAGAGAGACAAAAACAGAGGAAGAATCATCCTAAGCTGCTTTTTGTGGCTGTTTTACTGGGGAATGATACAGGTTAGAGAATATGTAGTTAAAAGGAAATTGTTATTTGAAGTAATATGTAAATTTACCAGTTTAAAAAAATTCCACATTTCCAAGCATTAAATTAGACCATTAAAAATAGGGATGTGCTCTGTAAGATTGTAAGAATAGCCTAGTAACCTGTGAGACACTGAATGATACAGAGCAACAATTACAATGCATCTTGTGCTAAATAAAAGAACAATTATTTTCGTCACCTTACTCCATTCAGTCTGAAACTGCGTCTTAAGTTGTTCCTGGTTGAAAATGAGAGCTGGTCATTGTAGGGTTAATGAACCCTCATCTGTCATTATAAGGACATTAGTGCAGTAATCTTAACTGTCAGCAAACTTTCAGTGAAAAGGGTAATTCTGTACTTCACTGACAGCCTGTAACATACACTTACATTGTACACATTGATTCATGTCAAAGCTAACCATAGAAAGCTAGTGCAGGAATTTCAACTTGTTTAAAATCATTCTAACTTGAAATATTCTAGAAGCATTTTGTTTGTGTGGGGTGGGGGCATAGGGGTCCAGATGCACATTGTTTTTTCCCAAGTCTCTTTCCATGGTCAAAATGTTATTTCTACTTGCTACTTAAATCATGGGGGGGCGTTGCATTTAACTTACTGAGCTTGCTATTTCTCTTCGTTTGATAGTCACAAAGTTTCCTTGAACATTGAGAATATTTTGTCAACCTCTGTCAGCGATGATTCAATACAGAAAGAAACCAGGTGAAGATCATACTTTTGATCTTCAGATTTGGCTCCATCCTGGGTCATTTCCCAACTATGAAGGTGGAACACTTTCAATGCTGTCCCAATCCTTTGAATGTTCTCACTGTAACCAACTCTGATAACATGGCTGAGCATGATAATTTGACCTCAGGTTATACAGGATCAGATGTAAAGGGTTGCAATTCAAACTTATCAATGGGGCTGCTTCCCTGCTGTCAGATGTAAAAATCAGTTATAATAGGTTGTGTTTTTAATAAAAAAAACTCACTTGTAATTAAATGTAAGATGTGGGAACGGAGAGAAATATTATTGTGGTTAATGCTTACATAGAGAGTCTTGGCCCTGTGTTCCATTAATTGTGAGCACTAACCCTGACCTTGACTTTCCATTTTAAAAACATGCTTCAGATTCTTCAGGAATACGCACATCTATAGAATAAAGAGAATATCTAATCAGTGACAGTGAGTTCCCGATGTTCTTTTGTTCATGTGAAAAACTGTTATGACTTGAGTAAAAGAACAAATGTAGCTCTGTGTCACCTTGTGAGAGACTTTCTATATAATAAGCACACAAGTATGGAATGAAGTATGATTGTATGATACATTGAACCTGGATATTGTTGAGTGATTTGTTAAATAATTCAGCTGTGTTATTCAGGAACCATTCAGGCCAAATTGTGTTTATTGAAGGGGGAATGGTCCGGTTAATTTAAAAAAAAATTAAATCCAAACTTACAGTATTTTTCCCATAAACATTTCACTTTGCTTCTTGCCCATAACCTATACTTTGAGTTGATATTCTCAGCCATACCTACTTTGGAATTATATTAAGTGGAAACCATGAGCTTTCCCTTATGCAAGGTATGAGATAACGCACAGCCACTGTTGTATAACTCCCTGTAGTCAGTCTCTTAATACATATGTTATTTCTGAAGACCGGGAACAGATCACCTGCCCTCCTGGCCAGCGGTGGTGCCAGAAGCGAATACTTCCAACAGTTGAGGGTTGAACAAGACACCAAAGTTTTTGCCGGCTAAGCGAGGTGGAGAGTCTATCCATAGATAGTTATGCTGTCAGCGCCTGAGGTGAGGAGGTGCTGACGGGAGCTAAGCAGGAGGGCCTCGGTCTTGTCGACATTCAACTGGAGAAAATTGGCTCTCATTCAGGACTTGATGTCTGATAGACACTCCATCAAGACAGCAGGGTCATGGAGTCAAGGATGGAGACAGACGTAGAATGAGTTATCATTCGCATAATATGGAAGTTAACCCCATGCCTGCGGATGATAATAACCATTTATTATGGCAAGTTCTGCTGAATTTAAATTCTGTCACTTACAAAAAACTCACCTTTTTAGTCTGAGCTGCATCCCCGTTATAGTTTGTTGAAGGGCTGCAATACTATTTGTTAGGCTTGTGCATTAATGGTGGGGTCATACGCTCAATGTTTAATCTTCCTTACCAAACTGCCTACAGTATGAAATATCTGTCAAAATCTGTCAGTGTAGGACAGAGAGAGAAAGAGGGATATATTGTAGTTTATCACTAACTCTTTGTTCAACCTGTGTAAGAATCACTTTGCAAATTTTGAGGAGCAGTACAGCATGGATTGACGTTTTCGTAGATTAAGAAATTGTACAAAAGATTACACCACACTTACTATCTACACGTTATTCAGAACTTACTGCGATAGCTTTCATTTGTGAAAACTGATGATGATTTCATTCAAGCACCATTGATTACACTACTCTGTACCTACATGGTCAACTTGAGTTGCTGGTTGACAACTGTTCCAAAATATTTATTTTGTTTATAAACATTTGTGTAATCCTTCTGCTGTCTGACTCCTGTTAAAAATTGAAAAGTCATTCAGAGGGGAAAAAAGAATACCTGGAATGCTTCTTGGAATAAGTCCATTTGTCTTTCAAATCTCCTTATTTTACTGCACGTGGAGTCTCTCGGGGGGAAGGGGTGAAACGAAGTGCAACAATTTAAAATCACATTTTGGACTGTGTTGGGGTTCGTCTGAAAAAATTAGTTAAAAAAAATCTAGGAATATTTGTGTGTCAGATTTGTAAATCATAATAACCAAATGTATAATGTAATGAGGAAGTTACTGTTACAACAGGCATGCAGAGTTTATTTTATTAGCACTGTTGTGAAATACCCTCCACTATAGCTGCCTGTCAGTTACTGGGCCTTTCAGACTCCTGAACATGAATTTTCTGTTCCTGATAGTCATTTATTCTTTGCAGAGTGAAGAGAATGCCTATGACCTCACAAAAATTTTACCTTACCATAAGAAATTCTAACAGAATTTACTTATCCAGTGGAATTACTGTGCTACTTAAATTGCAGGTCATCAGTGCTGAATATCAGATTTTTTTCTCCATGTTTTGTTACCAGTAGAAATTTCAAACTCTTCTAGGTTGAATAAAATACAAGTTAGATGCAGTATAATTCTCCCTCAACTCTATCCCGACAAAGTACAAGC